CTGTCTCCAAATACGGTCATGTTCTGAGGTGCTGGAACTTAGGGCTTCAGCGCATGAATTTGGGGGGACACAAATCAGCCCGTAACTGAGAGTAAACAGTATGGTGCCTCTGCCAACCCTCTCGCACATCAAGAGACCCTAGTCCTTCGGTGTGTGTGTTCACACTCCTTCCTGTGATGCCTGCTTCTGCCATCTGACAAGAAGGAACATCGGATGGGTTCAAGAGACACGTCGGAGGAGTGATGGAGGAAGACATGAGGAGAGTCGGAGAGTGAGAAGTGAATGTATGACATGCTGGGCTCTCAAAGAAGGCTCATCTGCGATTAGCACTTCATCATCAGGAGTCTCTCCTGTCCATCAAGGAGGAAGCAGGCAGGCGCTTGGACAATGCGGTTGGGTACCTTTCTATTGCTAGTCACTTTCAAGAGGAACAAAGGTAGCCAGGGGGTGAAAAGGCAGGAGGGTAAGAGGTACCAAGGCTGGTGGAGGGGGTCAGGGATTTGGCAAATGGAAAGAGTCTGGGAAGAGTGGCTGAAGGAGAAAAGCACCGAGCCGGGTGAGAAGGTGAGTGTTTCTGATTAAGAGTAGAACCAAGGACTCAGCTCATTGTGGAAAGATGTCTGCCCCAGAAGCCCCTCTGGAAAGTGTGCCTAGGAATCATTGTCCTCGTGGGTGGTTAGGGATGAGCTCTCAGAGAAAGAAAAAAATGGGACACGACCAAGGACATGTGTTGCTGATTGACCCTAAACATCCTTTGCCTTGTCTTGCTCAGAGGGTCCCAATCTTTGCTTCCACCCTTATTTTCCACTAACTCCCTACTCCTACTTTATGTTCCATCCAGACCTAACCATCTGATGTTTCCTAAAGTATCCTGTGATTTCCTAGCTCAGTGCCAGTTCTTTCGCATACAAATTATTTAATTTATAACAGTCTCCAAATCCCCTTTCGATGCTAGTTGAGCCCTCCAACTTGGTGGTCTATCTCCCCTCTTTGAACTGTCCAGGTACTATGACCCTTTGCTTTGTTTCTCCATATGTATTTTTACTGCATGGTTAGACTGCCTGGGAATGAGGACTGTTGTATGCAATTTTGTGTTCCCAGTTTCACCTAGCACAGTGCCTTACATATAGAATTAAAAAGATCTTTGCTGAGTTGAATTGAAGAAGAAAAATATTGCCCTTGTTATGTAGGTCATTTGTGGGAGAGTCCCAGGAGGGTCTCTTTCAGTCAAGAAAATATTTTTTGGCTGCCATACTTTGACTCTTAACTCCTGCCCTTTGAAGCTTAGATTGGTTTAAATCTCTTTGTTTTACATGCTTAAACTTGCATATTTACCAAAATGAGCTCACAGCTTCATCTAAGCCTGCTTTACCCAAGGAGATTTACATTTTTTTCTGAACATTTACAAACATATTAAAACAGTTTCTAAACAGATGTAATGTGGTTTTCTTTTATTTTTCTAGAAATATTTGCATATTAAAAGAACTTGGGGAAGGCAGTAGCAACTAAAAAGAAATCAGTGTGATTTCATGTAATGAGGTAGGAGTGGGCCTGAGAGAGAGATGTGACTCAGAGGGCCTGCTCTACAACAGCTCAAACCATACCTCCTGTGTAGCCTTCTACTACTCCTGGTTTGTCACCAACATGACAACTCCCCCCTACCCATACCAGGCTTGCAAGATATTCTACTCATGGCCATGCTAAGTGAGCACCAAACTCAGAAAACTGAACATGACCAAGTAGAAGTTAAAGGAACATAATAGGACATCGTTGATGAGACACATTTATTCACATACAAGGTCCATGTAGTACCTGAGGTTAAATAAGCATAAACAAATCCCTTATCACTCTAAACCAAGAGCCATCTGTATTTTCACAGAGTCAAATGAACTATTTTCTGGAGCCAACTCTGGGAAAGATGGTTTGGAGTGGAAGAAGTCCACTTTCCTGCAAGGGGAGAGAGCCAATTACTGCTTAGTCTATATTTTTGAAAGGAAATATTGCCTTCTTTCATAACAACAAAATTCAGAGCCATTGGAGTTGGTTGTGGAACAAGGATCTCCAGGTTGGAGGGCCCACTGGACCACATAGACCTGAGGTTTTCTCTGCTTTTGAGGTTCATCTTCTCTGGGGGCTCTCCTTGATTACCATGGCTGATGTCTACCATGCTGAGCTTTGGGGTCTCTGCTTCCCCTTCAAAATGCAACTGAGACAGGCTAAAAGCTTTAGACAAGTCTTTACTAAAGTCTAAGGAAAGAAAAAGGGAAACTTAAAAAAAAGGAGTAATAGAAATCTGTCTTACAAGATATAGTTTAGGCATCTTTAGCCGTCTCTCTTCTCAGTTCCTGGCCTGTGGGGAAGCCAGCCTAGCATCAGTCACCAGGTGACTATAATTGTCCATTTACTTTCTTCAAGTTGGAACCAGGTTCCTGAGAGATTAGGAGTCCTTCCCACCTGCTGAGATCTACCTCCTCGGATCTGGTATCCTGTATGAAGATCCACCTTTCCCCTAACAGTTGACACCAAAGTCAAGTTCTCTCTTATAAAGTCCCCTGTCCCCACCACAGGCCTTCTCCTTCATACCTCTTCTTAGAGGACAAGGTTCTTGTCATTTAAGTCCCATCGAGCCTCCTTTCCTGGTTTTTCCTGAAGCAGAGGGGACGGAGAGTGGGGAGAGGTATACCTTGGGCTGGATCCATGGAGACCCTAAAGCCAGGATGGCCACACGCTGTGCAGAAATTTTCCAGGTGGAGCTGGGAAAGCGGTGGGGGCTGGCACTTTCCAAATCTGGGTAGGAAGAGGAAGTAAGGGGGCTCACCATCCTGTACCCACATCCTCACATTTAACCACTCTATCTGCCAGGAAGTCCTTATTATCAAATCTAGTCCCTATACTTTACTCAATTGCAGATTCCAGTGACAGAAAGTATAGTGCCTCTTTAATGTCATGCCCCTGCTGTGCCCGTGTGTATGCCTGCATTCATGTCCCATTCTGACCACCCAGGCTGTTTTGGAAGTGTCTGTCTGAGGGGACAGTTCTCTGGCTGAAGTCACTGCAGACCTGGACTCTGATTAGTCAGTCAGGCTCCTTCTGTCTTACTGAGCTCAGGCATTGAGCCCATCTGTGAAATGGTATATTCCAGATCTGAAGGCAAGGGAGGTCTCAGGGCCTCTTCCCTCCTGTGAATGGCCCTGGGCTTCCCTGTGCTCTCTGGCACCCAGTGACAAATGTCTGTGCCTGTGCACATTCTGTTTTTCCTTCTCAGCCATTCTCTCCCGTTTGCTCCAGCCTCTCCACCAACTGAAGTCCTAACCCTGGCAGCAGTAGCCAAAGGATGCTCTATGGGAGCTCATCCTACAGGGCACAATGAACCTTCTCCATAACCGGAGAGAGAGAAAGCAATGACAGAACCAACTGCCAGCAGAAAATCCTTTTTTCTTTTTTGTCTCTGAATAAAGATGGCATCTGCTAACCTCACATGTCTTCCAATACTACCCAGGACCTTGGCGTGTAACTCCAAGGATGTGGGCTCAAGCATGCTTTTTATCCCTCTTATCTTCTGCCACCAGCAAAATTCAGGCCCATTGTCAGCTGTCAGGCTTCTCACCTGCTCATCCGCCTCTGCCTGAGCGACAGTATCCTGGACTTTTGATTCCGGAGGCTGCCCCTCACCTCCAACCATTCTCATTGTTCACTGAGAAACTCAGTTCTTGCTTAGGACCTTCAGTTGCCATTAATGGATCCATATTCAGGTAAAGTAGGGAGGTTTACTGAAGGATGTATGAGAGAATAAAGAAGGGTAGACTCTTGTATTTTATCCAGTTTTTTTCAATTGAAAAGTAAGTGTGAATGTGGTGAAAACCTTTGCTTTAAATATAAAACAAAGAAGTACNTTTCAATTGAAAAGTAAGTGTGAATGTGGTGAAAACCTTTGCTTTAAATATAAAACAAAGGAGTACATTGTGAAAATCGTAGCCCACGAGTTAACCAGTCTATCCACTATATTCTGAAAGTTTTATACGTATGCATATGCAAGCATATAAATGTGTGTGGATATGTGTATGTATATCTTTTATACACAAATGGAGGTGTAGGTGTGCTGTGCACACAATTCTATGTGTTGCTTTAAATTTTCTTTCACTAACGCTTTATCTTGGGGCTAATTCTATATAGGTATTATGTACTTACTGTTAGGTTTTGGTCGGTGACACATGTGCTGTGAAAGATTTCACAACAAAAAGAAGAGATACAGATAGAAAGTTTCTTTTACTTTCCCCAAGAAGGGAAGGGCTGGTGCATTGGTAATCAATACAAGGGCAAGAAACAAAGGGCCAGCCTGCTTTTAAGCAGGTGCTGTTGGTAGGTGACATGGAAGGAAGGGGTTTGGATTGTCTTGAAGTTGAGCAGATACCAGGGAGGTTGTCTTGAAAAGTTACAGTTTGTTTGCTTTCCAGGAGACAGCCCAGCAGATGTCCTAGGGAGGTGTCTTATCAGTATTTCTCCCAGGCCCGTAAAACATGCTCAGAGCAAAAGTTATGAAGCGTTCAAAAGAAGCTTGTTTGAAGGGGGTTGGGGAAGGGAACTTTCTACTAACTAGAGAGCCCTCGATGTGAATTGTCCCTGAGCTGTGAAAACAGCAGGGAGGAGGGGGATGCAAGTACGTAGCCTTGAGAGTAGCTCATCTTGTCCCACAGTTTGAACAGAGGAGCTGTTTAATCAGAGGGGACAACAATCTTGGGGTTTAATTACCAGATGCTTCTCATAAATTGTGGACGGCCACAGCAAAGAAAAGAGCTTTGTTCTGCCCATACACTTACCTTTCTTTCTCTTGGCTACACTGTATTTCATTATATGGCTGGACCATATTATTTAACCAATCCCTTATTAATGAACATTTTAGTTGTTCTTACTCGTTTGCTATAATAAATAATGTATATAAAGCATTATAGATTCTACCCCCTCGATGTCACTCATACTCTGCTGCGGATGGGGACTGGAACATGGCACTGATGGAGTGTGAGCCTGGGGTCCCCTCTGAGGAGGCGTCCCCATTCCCGATGCTCACAGGGCCTGGACGGGGAGCTGTCACTGGGTGTGGGGGCTACTGAGTCAGGCTGGGCCAAGGCAGGATGTGAAGTGTGACAGGGGAATCTCTTCAACCAGAATAAGATGGCCAAGTGGTTGGAAGGATCCTACCTAGAATTAAACATGTCAAGGGTGAGGAAAACCCAATACACAGGAGGGTCAGGGAGAGAGGAACAGAGAGAAGAGAGGGAGAAGGAGGAGGAGAGAAGAAAGGAGAGACAGAGCGGGGGGAACAGGAGCAGAGGCCCTGTCTTAGTCTGGCGTGAAGGACTGAGGGACAGGGCCAGCTGTGGAGCACTGTCTGGGGGCCTCCATCCTCAGAGGGGGGCCCTAGGCTGGGAGACAGAGTGAGAGAGTGGACTGATGGGACCTGCAGCTCCAGGGTGACATTGTTCCTCTGTCTCACAGTCCAGCTGTTCCTCCATGTTTGGCCAAATCCCGTGTTTGAAGGAGACATCCTGCCTCTGCGATGCCAGGGAAGGAAGAACTCAGCCCTGTTCCAGGTGAAATTCTACAAACACGGAAAATCCCTCTGTTTCTCTAAGGACAACCACCCTCTGACCATGGGGACAGCGACATTGAGGAGCAGGGGCCAGTACAGCTGCACTGGGGAGGTGACCTACTTCCCACACGTGGGCAGACAAACCTCAGGGACAGCCTGAAGCTCAAGGTGAGTCACCCGCGGGGGGATTGGAGGAGAGGAAGGTGCTGCTCTGGGATCTAGTCTCTAGAGGTCAGCAGCTCTCTGGGCAGCACCCCTCCGTCTGGCTGCCCCTGAGGCAGGGCCAATCCACAGGGCCCTGACATGTCCATGATGCTGTCCACACGCTCTGGCACCGCCCCCCACCTCCCCACCCCACATATAAGATACATCTGGAGCCAGAGGAGGAGGGGGAGATGCCCGGGGGAGGGGGAAGAGCCCTGAACCAGCTCTGCGACTTGCCCCCCTTGAGACCTGGGTCAGACCCTTCCCCTCTGGGGACCAGATGACCTCTAAGGCCCTCTGGTTCCAGAGGCATGGCTGTGTGGGAGTTGTCTCAGAGCCAGTGGGCAAGATGAGGGGCCAGGTCCTGGGGGACAATGACAGTGTCTCCCTCAGCCTCCTGGGGCCTCACCCTCCAGGACTCCCCACCTGAACCCTGGGCTTACCTCTCTCCAGAGCTCTTCCTGCCTCCTGTGCTGAGCACTGCCCCCTCTCCCAAGCCCCATAAGGGGAACCCCCTGACCCTGAGATGCCAGACAAAACTGTACCCCCAGAGGCCAGCCTCGTGGCTCCTCTTTTTCTTCTACAAGGGGGCTGGACCTTGCAGTACAGGGGCCTCCACCCAGAACTCCACATCCCAGCCAGGGAGGGAGACTGGGCTTTACTGGTGCGAGGCAGGCCCTGAGGGTGGCAGGGTCTAGAAACAGTCCCCAGCTGGAGGTCAGGATGTGGAATAAGTGGGGGAGGGATGAAGATGCACCTCAGGGCCTGGGCATTGGGCAGTGGGGCCCCCTGGGAGTGGGGGAGGGTCCCTAAGGGAGGAAGAGCCAGAAGCCCTGGTGTTCCAGCTGACCTCTCACCTCGGGTACTGCCCCAGCTCCTGTGTCCCGCTCTCTGCTCACCCTGAGCCCCAGGAGGAAGTGAGGCTCAGAGGGGCTCCCCTCCCATCCTGTACTCATTCTACCCTGAGGGGAGATTCTGGGGAGCTGCTCAGCCCCCAGGGTGGAGCTGCCTCCCCCCTCTTCCCGGTGACGTCAGAGTGGGATGCTGGGAACCACACCTGTGAGGCTGAGGACAGGGCCTCCAGAGAGACAAGCCAGCCTGAGACACTCTCCCTGGATGGTACATCTTATCCCCACCCAGCTCTGAGCCCCACATGTTGGCCAGGGTCAGACCCCGCTACTCCGTGCGCCTCCCGCCACTCAGTGGAGAGCCTGGGAGCTTGGAAGAGGCCGCTGTGTAGAGGAAGAGGAATCTCAAGTCACATGCCAATGAGCAACTAGATGTGCCGCTTTTTATAATCACAGATGCTGTGGGTCCTCTAGAGAACCACTTCCCTGGGGTTTCACTAAATCTGAGCCATCTGAATGCGGGCCTGAGACAAAGGAAACTTCCCTTGTGGACAGGCCATAGTGTGTGTGTTGTCAGCTAAATGTCACTCCCTCCCAATGCGTATGCTGAAGCCCTACCTCTTACGGTGATGCTATTTAGCGTTGAGGGCCTTTGGAAGGTAATTAGTGTTAGATAAGGTCCCCAAAGGATGAAATTGGTGCCCTTATGAGAAGAGGCACTAGAGAGCTCCATGGATCGCTCTTCCTCCATCTCTCCTTCCATCCCTTCCTCTTTTTCTCCAGGCTTGAAAAAAAAAGGTCATGAGAGAGCGCACAGAGTTGGCAGCCACCTAAAAGCCAAGAGAAGGGGCCTCAGAATGAAACCTAGTTTACTGGCACTTGATCTTGGGACTTCTAGCCTCCAGAACCATAAGAAAATAAATTTCTGTTGTTTAAGCTACTCGGTCTGTGGTATTTTGTTATGGCAGTTCAAGCTGACTAAGGAAGTATTTGTTCGAGAAATTTTAGGGAGGGGGGAGCCTGACAGAGGCCCACACACGGACGTGAGCAAAGAGAGCCCGGAGCTGGAGGGCTGTGTGCAGGTGGGCCCAGGAGGCCCGTGGAAAGCCCCCAAGCCTCAGTTTGGCCCCCGTTTCATCCCTGGGTCTGCAGGAGCCTCCTCTTCAGCTGGTTGCATTTCCTCTCCCCTGGTTGCCGGGTGAGCATCACATCGTCAGCCTGCTTCTCTGCAGAGGAGGCTCTGTGGCCTCACAGACAACAGGCCCCCTCTTCCCAGGACCTCAGGGTGTCAGGGGAGATACAGCAGCTGCTCCAGGTGCAGCCTGAAACTTGTGAGAGCGGCTCTGAGACTCTGGACTCAGGGTTCCAACTATGACCTCAACTCAGCCTCCTTTCCCAAGGGTTCTGCAAAGCTCCCAGGACTCCCACCTCCTACTGGGTAGGCGCCCATCTTAACCTGCACAGCTTGGGGATCCCTCACCTAATAGCAGGAGAAGGTGGAGTGAGTCGGAATCTGCCTCAACCTCGTCAGCATCTTTATGCCTTCCCAGGTCTCAGAGGGCACAGGAGAGGTTTCTCCTCCCCTCACCCCGGTCCCCTCCCCCAACTCAGGGACCATGAGCAGCACAGCCAGCTCACAGAGGGGCTCGGTGGCTGTGGGTATGGAGTGTCCCTGCTGGAGTCCTTCGACCTTGACCTTTCCCCCAGGAGCATTCTTTCCAATATAGTCAAGAGTCTGCTCATGTCTGGACTTATTTAATTCGATTGGTTGGTTCATTCCTTCTTTCCTTTTCCTCACCTTGTTTAAGATAAATTTAACATATTATGTAGTGAAGACTTAACTTTACCCAAAGAGAGGTCTGACCTATGCCATTGGCTACTGGGAGGTAACCTTTAGACCTCTGGAGTGTCATCTCTGATCAGAGTATTCTTGTTTTCTCAGGAACCTTGGCAACCAGGCATCCTAACAACATGACTTATGATAAGGGCTTTGGGGCACGCAGTATTTTTTCTATCTCCAGAAGAGCTAGAGACTAAAACTATTAGCCCAAATTTTGGAAGGACTAGAAACTAAAGGCCAGCTATATGGGCCATATGTCATTAAGCCCCAACAAAAAAACAGGGCCAAAGCTTGAGTGAGCTTTTCTGTGTGTATTGTCACATGTAGATACCAAGAGCATAACGCTGACCTCAGATTCTACAGGGAGAGGGTGTGTTTGTACTTTTACTGGACTGATGATGCACTTCTTCCTGTGGCTGCTTTAATCTGTATCCTTTTGCTGTAATAAAAGGATACGCAGCTGTGAGTATGAAAGCTTTCAGTGTGCTCTATGAGCACTTCTAGCAAATTATTGAAACTAGGGTGTTTGGGGAAACCCTAGAACTTGCAATTAATTGGTGTCAGAAGTAAGGGTGGTCTTGTGTAGAACTTATTCTTCCTGACTGTAAGCCTTGCTAAGCTCTCCTAGGTGTCTTATGAAATGAATACAGTGTTGTGAGATGAGACACCAATCAGTCAGGAAGATTCTATTAGAAGAAAGCAGAGTAGGAAGGCAAACTGGATCAGGGAACAAGGTCAGTATCGAAATTGCATGTTTAGTTCTACCCTGGCTATGGGAGGGTTACGCATGAGGCTCTCTGTACAACAGCAGCAACTACGAGAGGGCAGGCAGTGAGGTTTGCAATGCAACTGGTAGTCAGGATAGATAGCTGCGAGGGCAGGAGGAGGGAAAGGGGAGGGAAAAAAGTGTTATTTATCTCACCCAGTGAAACAGAGACGTCAGTAGTCTTGGGACTTGCCAAAATAAAATTGCCAGAAGTTCTCATAAATTCTGGGAAAAGCTGCAACAATGTAAAAGGGAGACTTTGAAATCTAGTCTATCCAGCAAGAGAACCTTGAAACCTATAGGTGGGGAAAGCATAAAACCCTTGAACCCCCACCAGGTGGGGCACTCAGACTAGATGAGTTGTCCTCTTGGCTTTATGCCAAGTATATTCTTAATAAACTCTCTTGCTTTGCTTCAACATTGCTTTATGTCGCTTGTCTGAATTCTTTCTCATGAGCATGACAAGAGCTGAGGAGGGAAGAGTCCCCTCCAACTCAGGTGGCTTTTTGGTAACATCTTTCTGGTGCTGTGACTCCGATCACTGAGTCACCTGCTTTCACTTTGAGATGATGCAGGAATGCAGTAAGTTCTGTTCCCAGCCAGTTAACCCTTTATGCATGTGCATTAGTTTTCTTGGGGAAAATGAGGGGAGCAGTGGCATAAGAAATTAGGCAGTTGGAATTAGATTGCTTTGGGTAGTATGGACATTTTAATTGGACATGTTGATTCTTCCAATCCATGAACATGATATATTCCCCCACTTGTTTACATCTTCCTCTGTCTCTTTTTTCAACGTCCTGTAGTTTTTTGAGTACATGTCTTTTACCTCCTTGGTTAGGTTTATTCCTAAGTATCTTAATTTTTTTTTTGCCATGGTAAATGGAATTGTTTTTTTAGTTTCTCTTTCTGAGAGTTCATTATTAGTGTGTAAAAATGTCATTGATTTTGGGGTGTTAATTTTGTATCCTGCTACTTTGCTGAATTCATCTATTAAATCTAGCAGTCTTTTGGTGGAGTCTTTAGGGTTCTCCATGTACATACACTATCATGTCTTCTGTGAATAATGACAGTTCTATTTCTTCCTTTCCAATTTGAATTTAATTTTTGTTTTCTTCTTGTCTGATACCTGTGGCTAAGACTTCCAGTACTATGTTGAATAAGAGTGGTGAAAGTGGACACCCCTGTCTTATTCCAGTTCTTAGTGGAAATGGTTTTAGTTTTTGCCCATTGAGTATGATGTTAGCTATAAGTTTATCATATATGGCCTTTATTATGTTTAGGTATGATCTTTCCATTCCCACTTTGCCAAGAGTTTTTATAAAAAAATGGGTGTACATACTCCTGGCTCTAATACCTAACTTTGAGACCCAAAGACAATTTATTTTAAATAGGTTTAATCTTTATTGTTGAAAGTATTGCAGATGTCCCCTTTTATCCCCCTGCTGGCCCCTTCCACCTCCCTTGATTTTGTCAAATGTTTTTTCTGCAGCTATTGATATGATCATGTGATTTTTGTTTTTCAAATTGTTTATGTAATATATCACATTTATTGATTTGTGAATATAGTACCAGCCTTGCATCCCTGTAATAAATCCCACTTGATCATAGTGTATAATTTTTTAAATATATTGCTGGATCTAATTTGCTAATACTTTGTTGAGGATGTTAGCATCTGTGTTCATCAGGGATATTGGCCTGTAATTCTCTTTCTTTGTAGTATCTTTATCTGGTTTTGGAACTAGTATAATACTGTCCTCATAAAAAGAGATTACTTCCTCTTGGACCTTTTTTCTTTTTAATGGTGCCCTTGACTGAAAATCAAATCTGAGATCCTTTGGTACCCAGGCTGACACTCTAACCACTGAGCCAAACTGGCCAGGGTTCCTCTTGGATTTTTTGCGAAGAATTTGAAGAGGATATGTGTTAGTTCTTTTTTGAATGTGTGGTAGAACTCCCCTGTGAAGTCTTCCAGGCCAGGGCTTTTGTTTGTTGGGAGTTTTTTATTGCTGTTTCAATTTCATCAGTTGTTATCTGCCTATTCAGGTTTTTTTATTCTTCCTGATTCAGTTTTGGAAAGTTGTATTTTTCCAGGAATTCATTCATTTCATCCATGTTGTCCAGCTTGTTGGCATACAGTTGTTCATAGTATTTGCTTACAATCTGTTGTACTTCTGTGTTGTCAGTATTTGATTTTATTTATTTGGGTCCTCTCTCCTTGTTTCTTGATGAGTCTCGGTAAAGGTTTATCAATCTTGCTTATCTTTTCAAAGGACCAGCTCTTGGTTTCATTGATCTATTGTTGCTGTTATTCTCTATGTCATTATTTTGGCTCTGATCTTTATTATTTCCTTCCTGTACT